GGTCACCATTTTCTCCTCTCGTACTACACTGTCTTCACCTGACAGAACGTCAGTTACTTCAGCTTTGGCTCCAACCTCTGTCTTAACATCATCCGCCAGGCCACACTGACTACAAGGCTTGCGCGACAAACTGTCCGCATTGCCATGTTTCTTTCCTGGGCGGTGAATGATCTCATAGTTGTACTCTCCAATCACTTGTAGCCAACGGGCTACCTGTCCTTCCGGGTCTTTGAAGTTGACCAGCCATCGTAATGCGGCATGATCAGTACGGATGGTAATCTTTCTCCCATACAAGTACTGTTTAAAGTGCTTGAGGTAGAAGACGACTGCCAAAAGCTCTCGGCGAGTCACACAGTAGTTTCTTTCAGGACGGGAAAGAGTCCTACTCGCATAAGCGATCACCCGTTCTTCTCCTTCTTGTATCTGCGACAGGACTGCTCCGATGCTTTCCCCGCTGGCGTCCGTGTCCAGTACAAAGTCACCTGTTGGGTCCGGGTATGCCAAGATGGGCGCCTCCTGTAAGTGATTCTTCAGAGTCACGAATGCCACCTCACAGCTATCATCCCAAAGGAATTCTCTTGACTTCTCTGTGAGCCGGTGGAGTGGGCGAGCCACATCTGCAAATCCCTTAATAAATCTGCGATAGTAGGAGGCAAGTCCTAAGAAACTTCGCACTCCTTTCACATCTGTCGGGGTAGGCCATGATTTAATAGCCTCGATTTTGTCCGGGTCAGTGGAAACTCCGGCTGGTGAAACCACATGTCCCAGATATTTCACGGTCTCCTTAAAGAGAAAGCACTTTTTCGGCTTTAACTTCAATCCAGCCAATCTAAATCTCTGCAGCACCTCGCGTAGGCGCTGTATCTCCTCCATGACGCTTCTCCCGTACACGATAACGTCATCGAGGTATACGAGTAAAGTCTCCCATTGTAGTCCGGATACGACCCTTTCCATCAGCCTTTCGAAGGTGGCAGGGGCATTGCACAAGCCGAAGGGCATGACCCTCCAGCTGTACAAGCCCCCGCGCACCACGAAGGCTGACTTTTGCTTCGCATCCTCATCGAGCTCGATCTGCCAGTAGCCAGATGCGAGGTCTAAGGTGGAAAACCACCTCGCACCCGACAGTGCATCCAGGGTGTCGTCGATGCGAGGAACTGGGTACGCATCCTTGATAGTTGTCTCGTTAAGTCCCCGATAGTCTACACAGAAGCGTTGGCTTCCATCTTTCTTCCTTACTAGCACCACATTTGAGGCCCAGGGGCTGTCTGATGGCGTAATCAGTCCCCTCTTCAACAAGTCCTGCACCTGTCGGTCAATCTCCTGTTGCTTGCACAATGGCTGCCGGCGGGGCCTCTGCCTGACAGGTCGTGTTTCTCCCGTGTCGATATGGTGCTTCACCCAATCATTTCTCCCAATGTCATGATCGCCCTCCGAAAATACATCCGCAAAATCAGTGAGCAGTCGAGCCACTGCGTAGTGATAACGGGGATCCAGATTCTCAACACTGCGTTTCCAGAGATCCTCAAGGTGGCCGGGGACGTGTACATCCTTGTTTTCATCTCCTGGTTCAACTGCATGTGCCTGCAGCACATCTCTCTCTACCACCGGTGTGAGGCGTCCGGCTGTCGTGCCCAACCGAACCATGCACTCTCGGCTGCCCGGATTAAGCAACCGCAAGGCAAGTACTCCCTCCTTAGGATCTACCAACGTTCTTGCAAGAATCAAGCCTTTTTGCGCCAACTCACCACCTCCTTCAATCGGTTCTATAATCCCCAGGTCACCTGATTCGAAATCACGGGTCACTCTTCCTGGAACAAGAGCTTCGTGTCCGGGCGGAATGACAGTCGTTTCTGCCACAACCACCCTGGCATGCAAGGTAGTTCCCCATCTAGTTGTGCACCGTATGTGTTCTCCGTGAAGCAAAAGTTCACACTTGTTGAAATCCAGTGTCCCTCCAGTTGGGAGCAGAAAGTCCATCCCGAGTATGCCTTTGGTTTTGACTTTGGCAATGACTGCCCGTACTGGGCACGCTGTCCTTCCAATACGCAAGTCCATGTTTGCCACACCTACTGTTTCCATGACACTACCGTCTGCCTGCACGACTCGGATGCCATCCTGCTCCAACGGTGGGCGTCTCTCTGTCGGTATCTGATAGTAAACCTCCTCCGAGATTATTGTGTCCGTCGTTCCGGTATCCACCAGGAACGGGATAGTGACTGACCGAAACTCTCCTTGTACGTAAAGTCCCTGCTTTGGAACAATCAATGGTGCAAATATTTCTCTTTTGTCGTCAGGGTTGAGATGAGTTTTGTCCTGTTGAACTTCTGAGTCCATTGTCGGTTGACCCTTCTGTTCGCCCAGCCTCCTCTTGGGTCGCAGAGTCGGCTGGCGGCCGTTTCCCGAGCGCCTCCGTGCAGGGGTAGTTGGGTTTGTGCAATCCTTTGCAAAATGTCCCTTTCCTTGGCACCCGTAACACCTGTCATCCGGGTTGGCTATCCTACGCGGTCTCGGGTGGTATACGCGTGTGTCTCTTCTCTTTTCAGGCTGAGGTGACTTTTCCTTAGTTGCCTGCTCGTCTCTCATATTCTTGTAGTATTGCTTTAGATGGTCGACCACATCAGCTATGATGGTGTCCCGGTACTCCTCCTCATCTCGCCCCATGCGGCATTTCTTGTCCTTTTTTCCACATCGTTGTTCCTCAATCCGTTCAAAATTCTCCGTCGCCAGCGCCGCACGAACTGCGTCATTCAGAGAAGACGGCCTTGACCGGAAAACTCCCTCCCGAATGCTCTGGCTGGCGATTGCGTCTGAAAAATGCCCACGAGCCAATCTATCCCTACTGTCTTCCGTCAACTCCGGATATGATAGGGTAGCCAACTCGCGGACTGCTTCTCCAAGTTCCTGTAAAGTCTCCTTTGGGCCTTGGCGACGGTTTCTCAGTTCCATAAGGAAGTTCTCAGCCATCTGCCCCGGCCCAAAACGTGTATCGAGTAGTCCAATTAGTTCAGTATACTTGTATCGCCGGGCTTGTCCTTCCCCTTGGCGATTAGTCAAAATTTTCACAGCGGATCCTTGCAAACTTGCGGCCAGGAACGCTGCAGCTTCCTCATCATTCCAGCCATTTACTCGCCTACAAGACTCGAAGTGTTCCCTATAATCTATCCAGGGCTGTTTTCCGCTGAATCGATCCGGAACAATATTAGGTCGTTTGGCTTTTCCTCCAAATCGGTCCTGCCACTCTTGTGACGATTGAATCCGCTCCTCTCTCTTCAATGGCCACGGGGTGTTAGGAGAGGTTGGCCTGCCCTCCTTCGCATCACCGTGTTTGTCGTTTGTGGGGGTGGCGCCTCCACTCTCTGGAGTGCCCTCCACCGGAGGCGTTATAGCTCCTCCACGATCAGTAGTAGGATGTGTCTGTGCCGTCGACTGTGATTGTGGCAAGTATGTTGTATTCTTCATCATCGTTCTCATCGGTGTAGATGTGTTCCGGCCTGTCTCCGTACCGGTTCGCTGCATCTGTTTTACGCGCCCAAACATGGAACCATAACCAGAGGTCTCCATGTCACGCGTTAAGTCATACTTAAATTCGATTTCCTTGTCATCCCTCTCGGGCCTTTTGTGTATCCACCCACGTTGGTGGTGTTCCTCTTCCGGAGACCCCGGGGATTGAGACAGAAATTGCCCCAACCGGGTCTCGGCACGTTCCTTTTCTCTCATCGAGTTTGCCAACTGATCCTCTTTCAGTTGGACTTCCATACGCAGTAGGTCAATTTCCTCCTGCAATATCGGCACAGGACGCTCGCCTGTGAGGGTACCTGTGCTTTCTCTCTGTTTACTGCTCATCTCGTCCGAACACTTGGCCTTGGCCATTCAGTGTCAGCGTCCTGAGAATTATCCTTCCAAGTCCTCCGCAAAAATCGGAGTGTCCAACTTTGTCTAATCACTCGCAACACTTGATCAACTCCAAATTTGATTATGCAATCAAGATTAGTTATCAGTCTGTTTACACGTACGCTCGTAAAGAGGTCAGTGCACACACACAAAAATGTTCCAAGCGTCAAGTAATAAGCTGAGCATACAAATCCCACCGCTGCCACCATTTGTGGCGGATTTAACTATTGCCAGGTCGGTTGTCCTCGGCGAACACTCGCGGGTAAGGCGAGTAACCCTAACAGCGTCGAGGTGCAGGTCCGTTTGGTTGGAAATATACCACCACGTATACTCAGTCTACTCACTGATCGCTGACTTCCAGACAGACAATACAGACTGACAAACATGTACAAATGACTGTGACGCAATGACAAAAGAAAGAAGGTTTCACTGATTTATTTAATTAGATCGATTATTATGATTAGAGTGATTTACTTGTATACGCCCTAAATAGCGCCTCAATGGAGTGTTATGGCGCCTCTAGTGGGTGTTATAGCGCCTCTAGTGAGTGTATAGCGCCTCCCGCCACTAGTTTGCACTTATCCACCACGCAAGTGCCGCATTTATGAGCTTCTAAATGTCGCGCACAGTTGTTCCCTCGGCAACGCCTCTCGTCTCCTCGGGCCTCAAAGGGGTAGGCTCCTCGTGAGCCTGGCTTATATGGAGCGTGTAACTCCTCGATGGGTCCTTACGCCTCCACTGGTACCTACAGCAGCCCTGCGCCTCAGTGCTCGGACCGACGCCTCAGTAGATGTACGCTCGCTAGCGTACGTCGTCCCTCGAGGCGTCCGGCCAACAGTCGCGCCTATGGCTCCGCTATATGCCCCACGCTAAAGGTAGGTAGGCACATATACTTACTGCAGTACGCCCTTTCGCCTCCTTGGATTGACGCTCCGGTAGGCTTGGTTGGTCCTTCCAGCACAAGTAGCGTTCACCAACTGACTACCCCGCTGGCGGCGACAAACTAATCGCGCGTCTATAGCTTTCTATGGCGCGCCATGTCAAAACAAATTATGTCAATTGCTCAAATGTTACAATACTGAATTGAGAATTCTCCTTTTTTGGCCTAGAAACAAGGTTGCTTTCATCACAGGTGGTGGATCAGGGATCTGTTTCACCATTGCTGAAGTTTTCATGAGGTAGGATAATACAAAAAGTTTCTTTTCTTTTATTCCTAAGCCTTGGAGAATAAATTGATAGGAGGAAAATGAAGACAAATTTCAATATGCAAACGTGTTTCTTTTTTAACACAAAACTTGAAAACAAAACTTATTGTAATAATAGTGCTCCTAACTTTAAAAAGTTAGGAAGTTGATGATTGTTGTTCTATGTTGATCATTATTTATGATTTTCAGGTTGTCGACCATAATTTTTTTTTTTTAACTAGCCCACCGGGCAAGTTTATGAAGTTTTTTTATTAGGCCGTAAGAATTGTTACTACCCTACTTGATATTTCCAGCCAGGTTGGAAATGTCACTCTCTAAAGCCTGGTTCATACTTCATGCGTAAGCGAATGCGAAAGCAATTTTGACGTCATGAAAAATTCGCTGCGAAATTCGCCCGAGTTGAAATGAGTTCAACTTTTACGAATTCGCAGCACGAATACTTGCCATGACGTCACAAATTCGCGTTCGCTTTCACTTTCGTGCCAAGTATGAACCGGGCTTAACTTTTTTTATTGATACATTTCCAGTCGAACAGTAAGCAGTTTGCATCAATTTTATTCATTTCCATCAACGTTACAAATATGAGGGTAGAATGCTAGGGGGAACCACTCCTAACTAAATCACAGATAAGTCACAGATATACCTTGAAAATTGTATGGATAAATTGTCTCACAAATTCAGCTCTCTATAACCTTGTCATTTCAGGCACAAGTGCCAAACCGTCATTGCAAGCAGGAATCTTCAGCGGGTTCAAGTGGTATGTCCCCTACCCCTTTGCAATATATTCTGTGGAATCAATTCTAGCTCCAATATTTGAGAAAATAATATACAACTTAAAAATTATGAATGTTTATGAGTGCAATGGGGAGAATATTTTCATGAGTTGAAAACTGGCATGTTCAACATTCAACGAGATGAAACATTCCATCTTTCAACGAATATTTCTTTGCATTGCACGAATGCAAAATTACATTCATTATTTGTTTTATGTAACATAGATCTTTGTTATTTGATTGGAGGATAAAACTGTTAGAACAAACAAAATTTACAAAATTGGATTCTGGTATCTGTATTGTTTTCAGCCTGTTAAAAGTGAACAATTACAATATGAAAGTTTATCTTCAAGCAAACTTGAATCCTCGATCCTGATTGGTCGATCCATGGCAACAAGCTGTGCTACATATAACCATACCGCACGGCCACGGTCTATACCGCACTCCGCATACGTATTGCGCTATTCTAAGCCTACGTGACGCGATTAGTGCTGCACAATTCACTGTGAATTCAAAAGTTGCGGGTAGGTTACAGCGTGCGTGTTCCAACTTTACTGTGCGTCAAGTTTGCTTGAAGATAAATTCGTTATCGCGCTCGCGCTCGTGGAACACGGAAAATGTAGTGCGTTTGTGTCCCACATACCATTCAGCCTTCGGCCTTGTGGTATGTGGGACACAGACGCACTACATTATTCCGTGTTCCACTCGTGCTCGCAAGATAACTAATATAATATTGTAAGTTCTTAAAACAATTCAAACAAATCAGCCAGGCAAGTTCAGTTCTTATCTGCATCCGCTTCAAAGGAATTACTGCTGTATATTAAAACGCATGATGTGGTACCGCAAAGATGGTAGGCCTATAGCGCGTGCACGTGCAATAGATCAAAAGGGATGGAACGAAAATGCATGTTGAATGGAACCAGAAATGCACGGTCTATGACATAGGCCATGCAATGGTTCAATTAATTAATGAATGCCGCATGACCTACAATCCTCCAATCAAATGACAAGGATTTACTTGGGTACAGCAAAACCCTATATGGGTTTGTCAAGTTGAACTTGAATATGAAGTCCAAACTCATATTTGTGCACTGTATTCTGCCAATAATGCTAGAAGAATGTAAACATTTGGAATTTGTTTTTTTTACAAAATTCAACAGAAAGTGCGTACAAGGAATATTGTTTTCACTGAATATTCATGAGTTATTTACAATGTAAGTTTGTTGGCCAAAATTGAAAACTGCTTGGTGCAATTATGCAAACTATAGCAAAACATCAGAAACGTTCAATAAACAGAAAGTTTTACAGGAGCAGTACTGCTGAAGGTCTTGTTTGGAATTGGGACGCATAATGGGAGATTATGAGAACTATATGAGATTATGATTATTTGTTAATTTTGTTTCTTTTTGTTTAATAGGCTGCTAAAAAACTGGAAGAAGCTACTGGCGTGCAATGTCTGGCACTGCAGCTCGATGTCAGGAAGGTAATATACGTTACACCTATAGTGGCTTAAGTTCTCTGTGCGCCAACAAAAGAGGGCGCTTTTATACCATTTTTTGAGAGCCCCGTGGACAGGACACACCACTGCATACTGGTTCACGCGTGTTACATAGCGTGAAGTACGCACTACTGATTTTATTCTAAATGCGCGCACAAACCACAGCATCTTCGCGAGAGCGTCGGGAATCGGCAGTGACATGTGTTCGAATGTCTCTCCCGGCCCAATGGGCTCCCAAGTCTGGTTCCCAGACCAAAGCATCCATTTCTGATAAATCTAATACGTCAGACCCTTTCTTGCAGAGTTGCCTTGATAAACTACTAAGAGAGTTGTGTGTTATTTCTTGGGTTTTTTTTTTTTGGTTTTATCACGTACAGCCTCAAGATGTGATGCGAGGTGTAGACGCAGCACTGGACCACTTTGGACGGATAGACATTCTTGTCAATGGTAAATACATTCCGATGATTACTTAATAAAATGCAATGTTTCAATTTGCAGTTGTATCTGCTTTGGAGTCGAAATTTTCAAGGTTACATTGTTTTGATTATTATTTTGTAAATTTATAGTCGGGTGGAGAAACTAAAAAGGCCTGAAACATAAAAAAAATGACAAGATAATTTGTTTACTTATAATTATTTGTTTACTGATAATTTGCACTTTTAATTCCTTTTTAATGGGAGACGGCTGGAGATGAGAGCCACCAAGCTCCCATAAGAAAGTCACATTTAAACAAAGCGTGATGTCATGATGTCGTTATCGATAAGTGGTTATTGCTCATGGTATCTAGTAAAGTGATTAGACTCAGGCAACAGGTCATGCCCTTCAGGGTTACTCTACAGGCCTTGGTCCTAGGTAGCCAATGATTTTCACTGTGTTTCTCTAGTGTTGTGAAAGTTATTGTTTCGTAAGTAAACGGCCCCTTTATAGCTTCACAGTTGCCGACTAGCACAGCTGCCCACCCATTTATTTGCTACTCTCTGTTCCTATATAGTTATGACACATTCCTTTTCGGTTAGGTATACTCTGAAAATTGTCTTTACTATCTGCCTGTACGTGTATACAAACTGCATGGATGCCGGGGGGATCACGCAAGTTTTACTTGCAGTATTTTTAGGTGTTGATGTGGTACTTGTGCACGAAGTTCATATATGGGCCTTGTTCACGAGTTGGCCATTTTTGTCGAGTTCCCTGAATGTATTTCATTAATTGTTAGCTGTTGAATGGGATGGCGCCAGACTATTTATGCAGGCATAAGGCAGTCTTAGGCCGTGTCCGAAACGGGCTTCCAGAGCTATTTTCAATGGGCGCAGACCTAGACCTAGCTCTAGACAGTTGATTCGGATGCAGCCTTATTTTACTGTCATTTTTTGTTTTTTAAATCTGGCTTTAAACATTAGGGAACGTTTAATTACAAATTTGAAATTATTCATTGAAGCAGACTGGAATTAACTAGAAATTAACTTGCTTTCATTTCTCTACAAAAGTTCCAAAAGTCAAGATTTTACCTCACTCTCAATCCAATATGGCCGACTCGTGAATAAGGCCCATACACCTTATTTCCGAACCATGAACCAGTCACTTCGGCAATGATCTGTTGTTGACATCTGATAATGTTAAATGATAATGACTCATGGCTATGTGGAGTGTCATGGCCTAGCGGTTAAGAGCACTGGACTCATGCTCTGGTGTTTCAGAGGCAACAGTGGCGTGGGTTCGAGCCCGGGCCTGGACACTTGTGCCCTTTAGCAAGGCACTTAACCATTATTGCTTCGTCCTTCGTCCGTTGTATAAGGCCTAACGCAGGTAAAAGAACCCAGTAACACTTATCGCTAGGAGAAGGGGTTTGCCCCGGTGTTTCTGGCCTCCTAGTTATACTCCCTTGTGGAAGTCCTTTAAGGAAAAGAACCAACCAAGTATGAAAGCAGTATAATATTGTATAACAATTCTTCTGTGGTTCAGGTGCTGCCGGGAATTTCCTCGTGCCTGCCAGCGGCCTGTCCTACAACGGCTTCAAGACAGTGATGGAGATTGACACCATGGGAACGTACAACACCTCCAAGGCTGTCTACGATAAGTACATGAGTGTACGTCTTAAGTCGGTCGATCATTCGGTTTTCAAGGGATTCACTTTTGTGTATGAATGAATTTGAGATTAGTTTTTTCTATTTGTTGTTTTTGAGACCTGCTGGGTATTTTTTTTTGGTGACGTCGTCTTGTGACTGAATTTTGTCAAGATTTTTTCTTTTTCTTTCGCTGACAGAAACATGGCGGTGTTATTATAAACATCAGCGCGACACTCGCCTACAGGGGTCAGCTCTTTCAGTTACATGCAGCGGCTGCCAAGGCAGCTGTTGGTAAGCACACAAAGTAAATGATTGTATTAAGTCCAAGAAATTATTAGGAGACTTGGCCAAAAAGAAAAGCAGAAAAAAACCTGCTTGGTCAAAAAGATAGTGTCACCCTCCAAGCCTTTAACTGATTTTACAAATGAAAAAAAAAAGGAATATTGTGTGATTTGGACAGTGCCCTCATTAATCACATGGTGCATGCCCCCCCCCCCCCACTCCCTGTAGTACTTGCAAACTGGGTTGAATTCAAAGTGTCTTGCATTGCAGATTCTATGACTAGGTCTAGCTCAGTTGGTAGAGCACCGGAATCGCAATCCAAAGGTTGAAGGTTCAAACAAACCCTGCTCCAGTCAATTTCTTTGTTAAACTTTTTAAAAAAAGAAGCTTTTTATTTCTTTAAACCATACATTTATGAATTGCCCAAGAATTGCCCAATTACTTAATCCCGGGTTGTCCTTGTTTTTATCCAGACTCCATGACGAAGACACTATGCAATGAGTGGGGACCGCAGGGCATCCGTGTGGTGGGCATAGCTCCAGGACCTATTGCTGATACCGAGGGCATGAGAAGGCTTGGTAAGTCAGAGAATCCCGCAAAATTTTGCACTTAGCGATCACCATTCTACAGTGCTAGCAGCAAAATTCTGCGCTATCCCAGTAAGCACAGAATCGTTTGTCACAGGATGTACTCACGCGCAAAAGCCAAAATTCCTCGCTAACCCGTGACTAGGGGTTAGGGGTTTAGGCCAAGGATAAGGAGTAGCTACACAATCAGACATTTTGTGGACATCAATGATGACTGCACATAACATTATGGGCGGGACTCGATATGGATCTGTTGGTTGATTGGTCAGGCAATCTGGTGAACATTGGTTGGTTGTCAATCAAATTAGGTTTTGCCCTTCACCGACGTATATAAACACTGTATACTCAGTGTGTTACCTCTCCTGCTTTCTAGTGCAGATGTCTTACCACTTGACCACCGAGCAAAGAATTTAACAAAAACTCAAACCCAATGTCGGTTGGCTGGTTCGAATCTGATGTACATAGTGGCGGGTACCGCATTATTAACTATTCATATGATGGGATTTTTGCGTCAGGGTGATGTAAATCAAATTAGGTTTTGCCCTTCACCGACGTTAGTTAACATTATTGCTTTCTCAGTTTGGTTGGTTAACATTATTGCTTTCTCAGATTTTTTTTTTATTGGTTGGTCGACTAATCGCAGGTAATTAACTGATTGTTCATTTACTGGTCGGGCCAGCTAGTTATTTAACTGGTTGCTGACAAACTGGTTGACGGACTAGTCAGTTGGGTATAATGATTGGCAGCATAACTCTGATAGGCTGGATCATACTTCAAGTAAATGATGTGCAATTTCCAGGGGATCAGAATTCACAAAATCTAAACAAAAATGTACATTGGATTGGAATTTTGCACATTTGCACCACGCAAATTTGCCATGATGTCACAAGTTTGCACTCGCGTTCATTTTCACGCCAAGTATGAGCCAGCCTTAAAGGTATAGTCCATCATTTGCAGCCATCCGAAAAGTAACTGGCGTAATTATTATTGAAAAACAAACTTGGTTGAAAGATAGTAAGGGAACTAAACTCCCTGTGAAATTATTCTTTCTGGGAAGCTGTCATTTTGAAGTAGTCAACGAAAGAAGGCATTTCCAACGGTGATTCTTAAGAAGCACCGTAGGAAAATTTAAATTAGTAGTTCGTTTTGTTATTCAGCGCAGCACGCACAAGTATTGGAACGACGCACACGCGGGCGCGGTTGTTATAATTCGTCGGATCAGTGCGCGACGCCGCGTATAGCTGCAATTCAAAACAATTCAAAACATGATTCAGTAACTTTTGATTTGAAATTGAGATCTTAGAATGCTGCTTTTCTCGGAATGTACAGCTGAAGCTTAGCTGAAACTTCATCAGGTTAGTTGCTCAGTATCCTTCATTAGATTTTGAACACTTTTGTTGCTTCAAACGAACAAAATGCACTCATTACAAATGATGGACTATAGCTTTAAGACTGGGACTTTACAATATGACTTTTCTCAGGAGGTGTCTCCCGTGGTAAGCAGGCATTGGAGAAGCGGGCACATGGCATCCCACTTCAACGCTATGGGACCAAGCGTGAAATCGCCGACTGTGCCGTCTTTGTGGCCAGCCACGCCGCTAGCTACATCTCGGGGCATACCATTGTTGTGGACGGGGGGAGTTGGATGACGGGGGATAATAACATGGAGGCCATGAGGAGAAGGGTGCCTGATGCAAAATTGTAGATTTCGGGTGGGTACAAGTTGGGAACGTTCCGATAAATCCTTTCAGTATAACTGTCAAGTGAGACTTGTTATAATTGGCTTTTAGCCAGGGTTCGGCTTTAGCGGTAGCCCGCAAAATGTTAGTCAAAACAGCGGCGGGCTAGTCAAACTATTCCTTGAGTAGTCCGGCTGGCGAGTCAAAAATTGTTAGGCTACGGCAAAGATGAAAGGACAGGAAGAAATCATTAAATTCACAAAGCAAACCTGTATCAATTTGTGTCTAATTTTATTAACTGTTTAGGGTTAATTATTAGATCGGTTTATTAAAAACATTGACAAGATTGCCTCAGGATGCACGTTTTACATAAATGCACATAGACGTTTATTAGACACTCTATAAAAGAAAAACATATGAGCCAGTGAAAATGTCCAGGGGCTAGTTAAGAGTCTTTTTCAGTAGCCTGGCTGGCTAGTGAAAATAAAAATTAAGGTCGAATCCTGTAAGCGCTGAAAACATGAAGCAAAGACTGGTAACCAGGCTTATAAATGTCATGCCCTGTATATCTGATTTTGACTGGTTCTCACTTCTCAGCAGATTTTTGCTAATAAGCACCTGAATTTTCTCAGTAATACTTTCTGCTTAACCACTTGTGTCAATCATGTCCTACACTATTGATTCTGCATCTGGGATAGCCGAGGTTTTTGAACACAGTATCATTTGAAAGGTATGATTTATGTGAAGTGTATATGCAGCGGCGTAGCCATGGTTCTCAGCATATGGGGCGAGGGGCTGGATCTTACAATCGAGGGGGGGGGGGGGATTTCTGTTAACAGGTTAACCATGGTCACCTTTTGGACTAACAAATTTCCAATGGGGGGGGCCACTGGAGGGGCGACTTTTTATGGAGGGCGTGCCCCCTCCATCCCCCCCCCCCCCCCCCTCGGCTACACCGCTGAGTACTGACTTCTAAAAAGAATTAAGGTGTGAAATGGGAAAACCTTTCACTAAGATCTTGATGTTAGGATCTCGATGTTAGGGAAACACCCCCCCCCCCCCCCCCCCCGGAACATTTCCTCACTCCTCAGTTTGAACCCTGGATCTTCTGAGTAACTATCACACATCATACACAAAGCTGTGAGACATGCCTTTCTGAAATATTTGGTACCTATTTCAAACATTTCACAGGTGGCGGTGCAATGGGCAAGCAAGGGTTGGACCAGCTAGCACAGAACCTTCCCCTTCAGCGGGTGGGAACGAAACGCGACATTGCCGAATGTGCCGTCTTTGTGGCCAGAATGAACGGACGATTTGAACAAAATGTGGACTTTTCAAGTTTGAAAGATAAGGATCTTGTATTATTTTTTCTATTGGAAAGGCTATTTACATATTCATTGGCATCTTGGAATGACAAAGTGGAATATCGTTTGAAAAATGTTGATTTTTTATAAATTAAACCATAATATGTATATTGGATAAATTGAGTATGAAAGTTACTCAGGTTAAGATAAATGATCAATTGCCGAATTATTTTTTTAACTCTTGAGAAATCGTACTAATAAGTCTGAATCAAAAGTTGCATCATTATATAAATGATATGTATAAATTTGCAGATTTGGCTCATTTAAATATACCTTTTAAGTTTGCTGTTATAAATGTAAAATTTGGACATTCCAATGAAACATTTGTATATTTCGGATCAGTGTTACCATTTGAATCATTTTTTTATAAGTACTGACAGCAATAGAAGTGGCATAGTGAGGAAATTGTTTAAATGCTTAAACAGTGACCATGTTTCTTTTCATGTTTTTATTTTCATGTTTATCTGATGCTAAAAATATTAGATATTCAAATTTATCAAGATTATTTAAGGGGTGTCACACCCCAAAAGCACAGATATAAGAAATTTAAACAATGAATACATATAAATCTATTCTGTAATGCTGGAAACTTAAGATAACCAGATGTGTAACAGTTCAATCAGGTCTTAGTAAAATATCTCTGTATAACATGACTAACAAAACTTTTAAGAATAAAATAACCGTTTTCACAATTCACCTTTACGACTGTGCATCGGAACTGGGTACCCGATCACTCGACTGTTGATGTCAGGAACCGGTTCAAGATTATGGAATCGAGTGCCCATAACCAACTTTACGTGTTACTTAGTAACTTCTCAGACAATGAAAAAGAAAGGTTTGAATGTCATATGGGGATTTTTCAAAATGAAAAACAAGGCTACATGGAAAAACAAAACAGTTTCACGTTTATGACGCTTTCGAAAATGCAATTTACACCGTGAAGCTTAAGAGCTCACTGTACACACTTGTGTTTTTCTGTATTGACACCCCAATGTTGTACTATTATCGTGCGGACCTCTATGAACGATGTGAACAGCAGCTTCCAAGATTTAAATTTTGAGGTTGGTTTCTTTAATTGATCAATCGGGTACCCATAATTACACACCCCTATTCACCTTATAAATTCTATCTATCAATAGATCTCTCTCATAGGACGCCATCTTTATAGGAACATAACAGCTGCGTATTCAACGCCATCAGGTGCGAGTTTGCACAGTTTGCAAAATGTTCTAAACATGTGCGTACCGTATGCTGCTCAAAATTTCTTCAAAATGCGGCACAGCTGATGCGCGTCATGACAATTTGACGCACAAAATGCCAATGCACGTGGCAATCTGTAGGAGGTGACGTCATTTGAGAGAGACTTGTAAATGTAATCTTCAAAACAAAACTGCGGAATTTGGCAACTGATAAATCAAGTAAAGTAATGACAGTAAAAGAGTCAAGTTTTATTGCCCCGGCCCCAAAATTAAAACCTTTAACCCATTATCACCGGTACGCATTGTAAAACATTGTGTTGATTCACTGATGACTACATAAAACCGTCAAGTGCTGGGATGGTATTTTCGTAAAGTTATTTTAAAGGCAAGAGTAGACCATTTGTCGTAAGTGTATTTTTTTTTCAAGTGGAACAACGAAAGTGCTCTAAATCTAAAGATGGGTGTTTAACTAACAGGGGCGGCAGAACACTTTTCAAACTGGGGGGGGGGGGGGGGGGGGGAACCAAAAAGGGGCACCTTCCGTTGGTGTGAAAGTGGAGGAAAAGAATATGGTCCCATTCATTTCATTATAAACCTATACGGCGAGGAATAAATTATGAATACGTTGTCTAAATTGCTCTTTGTGTTTCTATAACCTAGTTGTGAAGAGAGACCATTTGTTTATATTGTGTAAAGGGCACTTGCTTTTGATGGCCAATTTTCAACCTCGAGAGGGGCACAATTTTATTATTGCGAGAGGGGTATTTGTGCTTTCGAGGGGTAGTTTTCCATCTCGAGAAGGTGCACAATCTTGTTAATGCGAGAGGGGTACTTGTGTTATCATGATTTTTTTCCAGTATTTGGAAGAAAAAAACTCTTGAGCTTTAATCTGATATCCAAAACATAAAAATTCACAAATCACGTTTTGGAAAAAAGGGCACATGTTTCAGGGTTCCATATTTTTTGGGTCGCCCTGTACAGCACACACAAAAAACACCTTTAAAATAACCACAAGTACATTTCAGTAATATTTTAGTCCGTTTACCTCACCTGTATAATAAAACTCAACAATTAAATATCAATTTTACAATAAACAATTTCAGCTCATTTAAAAATGAATTCCTCAAACCTCAAATCATGGAGATTTACATATTACAAAAAGTACATAATCTGCAAGCTCTTTCCTACAGGATGGAAGTCTGTTTCTACGGGGGCGAAATGCAGTTTGAATTTCAAACTCAACTTTACTCAGTCATCAGGTAAGCAAAGTAGTACATATCATTAAGTAAATAACATTGGCACTCTATGAGGCCAAACAAAAATAGTTCTGCTATGAGCAAAAAAAACACCCAAAACCCCACCAATTTCTACTTTTTACCCCTCAGCCGAGAGGCTCGAGGGGTATTGTCATCGCCTAGGGCGTCCGTCCGTCCGGATGTATGTCCGTCCGTCCGTCCGTCCGTCCGTCCGGGCAGCTTAGTTTCCGGATGATAACTTGAGTTAGAAATGTTGTTTGGGGTTGTAACTTCGGTAGGGGGTTGCCCTTGGGAGTAGGCAAGTTGGGATTGGTTTTGAGGTCAAAAGGTCAAAGGTCAAGGTCACCGTGGTGAGTTAAATGTAAATGGTTTCCGGATGATAACTTGAGTTAGAAATGAGATTTTGGTGTCTAACTTTGGTAGGGGGTTGCCCTTGGGAGTAGGCAAGTTGGGATTGGTTTTGGGGTCAAAAGGTCAAAGGTCAAGGTCACCGTGGTGAGTTAAATGTAAATGGTTTCCGGATGATAACTTGAGTTAGAAATGAGATTTTGGTGTCTAACTTTGGTAGGGGGTTGCCCTTGGGAGTAGGCAAGTTGGGATTGGTTTTGGGGTCAAAAGGTCAAAGGTCAAGGTCACCGTGGTGAGTTAAATGTAAATGGTTTCCGGATGATAACTTGAGTTAGAAATGAGATTTTGGTGTCTAACTTTGGTAGGGGGTTGCCCTTGGGAGTAGGCAAGTTGGGATTGGTTTTGAGGTCAAAAGGTCAAAGGTCAAGGTCACCGTGGTGAGTTAAATGTAAATGGTTTCCGGATGATAACTTGAGTTAGAAATGAGATTTTGGTGTCTAACTTTGGTAGGGGGTTGCCCTTGGGAGTAGGCAAGTTGGGATTGGTTTTGAGGTCAAAAAGTCACAGGTCAAGGTCACCGTGGTGAGTTAAATGTAAATGGTTTCCGGATGATAACTTGAGTTAGAAATGAGATTTTGGTGTCTAACTTTGGTAGGGGGTTGCCCTTGGGAGTAGGCAAGTTGGGATTGGTTTTGGGGTCAAAAGGTCAAAGGTCAAGGTCACCGTGGTGAGTTAAATGTAAATGGTTTCCGGATGATAACTTGAGTTAGAAATGAGATTTTGGTGTCTAACTTTGGTAGGGGGTTGCCCTTGGGAGTAGGCAAGTTGGGATTGGTTTTTGGGTCAAAAGGTCAAAGGTCAAGGTCACCATTGTGAGTTAAAGGTAAATGGTTTCCGGATGATAACTTGAGTTAGAAATGCGATTTTGGTGTCTAACTTTGGAAGAGGGTTCCCCTTGGGAGAAGGCAAGTTGGGATTGGTTTGGGGGTCAAAAGGTCAAAGGTCAAGGTCAGCATGGTGAGTTAAAGGTAAATGGTTTCCGGATGATAACTTGAGTTAGAAATGAGATTTTGGTGTCTGACTGAGGTAGGGGTTTGCCCTTGGGTACAGGCAAGTTGGGATTGGTTTTGGGGTCAAAAGGTCAAAGGTCAAGGTCACCGTGGTGAGTTCAATGTAAATGGTTCCGAATGATAACTTGAGTTAGAAATGAAATGTTGGTGTCTAACTTCGGTAGGGGGTTTCCCATTGGTACAGGCATGTTGGGACTGGTTCTGGGGTCAAAGGCCAAAGGTCAAGGTCACCACGTTGAGTTAAAGGTTAATGGTTTCCGGATGATAACTTGACTCTGGCTGAGGGGTTTCAACAGCAACGCTGTTATTTTTACTCTTGACTTCAACGCAGAAACCTCCATATGATCTTACACAAAAAAATTGGAAAAAAAATATATTCCCAACCTACCTACCCTATTTTCGAATGCCATGTAAACGGAAGCAGAACTATTTCATTTTGTTTTTGGCCCGAGTTGAAGTCGGGTACACTTCATGACTATTGGTAAAAAGTACATGGGGAAAAAACGTGAGTTTAACAAAAATTCAAATTTACTGTTCAACACAACAAAATTGAATGAGTTACGATTCAGCCTGTGAAAGTGCAGATGCTGCATAATATTCAATATACATGTACTAGAGTATGGATACTACAAAACTTCACCGACAACTCCCTTCTTTACACCTTTAGCCTTGAATGAAAACTAGAGTAAGAAAATTCCTTCTCATCTTAGTAGTGTTCATGTAGTGTGAAGCAATCACCTTCCAACAAAGGTTTTGGGATTACAAAAAAAGTACCATGCAAGCCTAGTTGAAAGTGAGGTGCCACTATCATGACTATCGAGGTTGGATACCTTCTGCAGCCAAACTTTTTAAGCAATGAGCCAACTATTTCGGAGTTAAGCATCTCTCTTGTTCCTCAGCCGACTTGGCTTTCTCCCGGAGTAACAGGAGGTACTCACAAAAGTCCCGGGCCGCGCCCCGGCCGCCAGCAAGCTTGGAGACAAACTGTACCGCCGTTTGGACCGGCGCTTGTGCATCGGCGGGGCAACCACTGACCCCACAGCGCTTCAGGCATTCAAAGTCCGGCGTGTCACACCCTGCAATGAGACAAGTAAATCAAATCAAACATGCCTTTCTGGTCATTGTAAGGCTTTCAAAATTATCTTAATGTTTCAAACATGAAAAATACGCTAATGTTTCTCCAATGGTTATAATTCTTTTGCTACTTCTTAAACATCATAAAACATGTTCTAAATTTTGATCGGCATGTAGGCTATAGATGGAGTGAGAAAATGATGCAGTTCTGTTTTCAAAGGTTAAAGACCATGGACAGTTAAAAACATACTTAGGCCATACTTCGACGCAGCACACACATTTTCACTGGCGCGCTTTGCTTACAATGTTTGAAAGGTGCGGCACGCTGTTGTAGCTAGGAAATGTAAAACTTGATCAGCGAATTTCGATACTTAAATACTAATTCATTCAATAAAGGACAGCCCTACACTTGATGACTTGTGAGGACTTGTGAGGGCATGTGAGGACTTGTGTGGACTTGTGTGGACTTGTGTGAACTTGTGAGGACTTGTGTGAACTTGTGAGGACTTGTAAAGACCTTTGAGTATGTGTGAAGATTTTTGAGGACTTGTGTGGACTTGTGAAGACTTTTGAGGACTTATTAAGATTGTGAGGACTTGTGAGGTCATGAGAAGACTTTGAGGCTATGTGAGGACCTGTGTGGACTTGTGAGGACCTGTTAAAAATTGTGAGGACTTGTTTGAACTTGTAAGGACTTGTAATGACATTTGATGATGTGTGAGGATGTTTTGAGGACTTGTGTGGACTTGTAAAGACCCGTGAGGACTTGTGAGGAATTGTGTCGTTGTGTGAGGACTTTTGCCAGGACATGTGATGGATTTGTTTGCAAAACTAGATGGAGATAGGTTCCTTGCAAAAACATGCCAAAGGAGTTAGGGTCTGGGAAGGTTGGAGTTAACTTACCCATAATAGCAATGTCCAGCCAGTCCAGCTGCAACTCTTTTCTCCACTCTTCCAAGACGGCTAATTTGTCCTTGCATCCCATGGTCAAAGGCAGATTCAGCTTATCTGCATATTTCTGGTGAGTAATGCTCTCTTCACCTGCAGAAGAAAGAAAAGAATGACTTCAAATCCACCAGCTCAAGGGGAACAGGGAAAAGACAGGAATAATTATGATAGTTATACAAACGTATTGTAAATATCTTGTAATCCACACATAACTAGCTCTGCTTCAATGGGGTTCAATGCATGAGTGATAATTGATTTTACTTCACAGAGATCTTTTTACTACATTCAACTTTTTTCACAATGACTCCGAGCGTACTGACAAAAGTTTCCCTGAACCACTTTGACATTTGAAAATTCAAAAATGAATTGTACCTTCAGACAACTACTTACAGCTTAGGATCCGGACGGCCATTCCCTTTTGTATTAATTCCTGGATGCCAATGGAATCACTGAAGTTGTATGAACGAAACTCATCGCCTGCCAAAGAGAAAAAGTCAAGATACAATATGCTACAATACTTAAGCACATTTTTAATAAGAAAGAAGAAAAAAAATAATGGGGTGTATGTGGGTACAAGATATATCGGATGCCAAATATTCATTTGTTGTCAAAAACATAACCTTGTGTAAAACACCCAAAATTTTGATCAAATAAAGCATCTGTACCGCTGACGTCACACTTTATTTACGTGTGTGCTTTTCCAGTGTTGTAGTACTCATGCTCGAAATGGTGCTCAAGTACTACTCGAGTACTTGTTTTAGAGTACTCGTGCTCGTACTCGTACTGAAATGTCAAAGTACTTGTACTCGAAATGATGGTACTCGTGCTCGGGCAGCAAAGTACTCGTACTCGACATGTCAAAATTGTACTCGATCATCAAAGTACTCTTACTCGAAAAGCAGTACTAAAAAAAAAAAAAGGTATAGCTTGACTTACCACGGCCTTATTTTATTATCGATACTTTCAGTTGGAAATGGTTGATTGGCTTGCAGAGAAATGAAAGTTTCCTGATTTTTCTCTGTGCACGTCCGGACAAACACATTTAACAGCTAGCCGTGAGTGGTCTGTATATCGGTCTGTATATCGGTCTGTATATCGGTCTGACTGGGCCTGGGCGCACAATGAAGCATTTGCCGTATGGCTGCATTGGGAAATAGAAGTACTCGTACTCGTACTCGGAATACAAGCACTCGTACTCGGAAGTACAAGCACTCATACTCGGTTAACTAAGTACTCGGCAGTACTCGGTACTCCGAATAAAGTACTCGACTGCAACCCTGCTTTATGGGAGCCTGGCAGGGGCCAGACGGTTCGTAGCTCCCTAGTTCCCTAGTTCCCTTATCTATAGCAGCTTACCGGCAGAGGTGATGTGTAACATGTTGTCGGTCAGAACACCGTCTGCTGCAAAAACCACGAGTCGTACCCCCTGCGGCTTCTTCTTGCCAAAGTAACCGAACTTGATGACCCGCTGCTCCGCGATTGGCCAGTCAACGTCGGTGTCGATGTCAATACTGTACTCTGGCCCCATTTCAAAATAGCCAACCCTGGTAGTTCAAACAACGGATACGATTGAAGGCAAGCCCGATTATCAACTGCTCATGGTTTACATGATACCAAGAGTAACATTTTCATGTTACCTTTTAAGACACCTCATGCATTTTTTTTAATGAACCAAACGCTCTACTTAAGGCCCCCCAAAAAAAGGCTCCGGTTTCTGGTATGCGCGCATCGCCGTAGCCATGCGCATCGGCAAAATTAAAAAGTTTTTATCTCAATGTAAGATGATGTCTCCAAATCGCCAAACTCACTGGTTTGAGTGGAATCCTGCTGCTGCACGATTTGAACGTGTTTTTAGATGGGGTTACGATCGAGTATAAGCTTTATGTGGCCTCTCAGGGCCCCATATATTTTGCACTAAATTTAGTCGGGCACCATTTGCGGTCATCAGCCGACATTTGAAGAAAAAAAAAAAGCATTGCCGCATCAATTTTGGGGCAAGCTCCATACCAGAAACCGAAGACTTTTTGGGGGGGGGGGGGCCTAATATACTTTTATTCCGACTTTTACCAAAGTAAAATTGAATTGTCCACTGATGGATGTATTGCTGATGATAATTTACAGTACTTTTTTGCACAATTTGCAAAGCAAAATTGTTATTTGAATTGAATGTATAAATTTAGTTGTTAATGTTTATATGTCCACATAGGCGTGTGTACTTTAATTTATACTCATACATGTAGATGTAGGAGTCCTTTTCAAGTATGCATAAGTATGCTAAAAATGCATGCAAAGTGAGTGCACACAATTTCACGTTTTGCCAAAGGCTATCAAATGTGTCCCAAACAGAATTTTGGAAACTGAGGTATTTTTTTGCCATTTCAAATTGCCCTGAATATTATTTGCCAACTTTTTCTTCCCTACTTTATCACTTTACCTTCCTCCCTGGAAGAGCCCGCTCATGAGCAGTTCCCGAGTTGCAAAATAAACGGCTCCATTTTCACAGAGATGACCGGCCCAGTCCTGTCGCCGCGGCCTCTTAGCGGGATTGAAGTTTTCAGCCTCTGTCTGCTCACCTTCAAAACACAAATTACGAAAGAAAAATACCAATTTGGTCAACATTATGCCCTAAAATGACAAACAACTACGTTGCACAGGACAGGAACATGTGTAGTAGCCAAACAGGTACATGTAGAGTTAGCCATGAAAACACAGGTAATAATAATAACAGATCGTGTACAAGTCGCAAGGCCGTGCTCACTCTTTCATGTGAACGTCTTGGTACCAAACACTGACCAGTCTAGTCACAGACTCCCGTGTTTAAATTTACCCACTTGGTATCTATGCAATCGATTGTGATCGATGGTACTCCACAAAGACTGGCCAGAATGAAAAACTACAACATTTGGCAATTCCATTGTTATGGGCATTACACTCAGAGCAAAAAAAAAAAATCGAAACAACAAAGTACAATATTTGCAGTCCTTCTGATTTGAAAATCACAGGCGTGTGGAAAAAGGCACACCTGGATTTTTCTAGGTGTGTGTTTTTTCTAGGTGTGTGATTTTCTAGGTGTGTGATCTGTGGTCTAGGGAAATTCAGGCGTGCAATTATCCACACTTCTCAGGAAGCTTCTAGGTGTGCGATGGTGTGGGGGTGTGATCGCACGCCTCAAATCAGAAGGACTGTATTTGCAATGATAGAAATATATTTGGTACAACTCTAGCTTAGGCCTTAATGTACAACATGACATGGTCAATGGAATGTTAGCTAAAATAATCAGTGAGATATAAGCGCTGTAAACTACCGCCATGGAGTGTTACGTTTTGAAACATAGATTTTTGATTTCCAGTACACATTGATAAAAATCTGTGAATTTTCTTGCAAGAATTTAAAGGGGCACTAGGTCCTGAAATCCCAAAAAAATTCATGTTTTGGATTGTTTACTTATCCTATTGCAAACATCTGGTTGAAAGGAAACCCAACCTAATGTATTACTGTTCCTGAGAAAAGATGAGAAAAACCTGCTTGTTTACATCGGACACAAAGGAGTACGGTACGAATACATTTTTCGTGTCGCTCTCAGTGTACGATATACATGTTGTGTGTCTCGGGAACAGCGGTGACCAATCACCAATGCAAAAAAAAAGTGGTTTTACGAATGAAATCACAACTAGCATCAAAACAGCTCGAATTTATACAGAATAAATTTTACACGCATAATACAGAAATAACTCAAAAAACGCCCAGTTTTGAAAGGATAGTTGTGTGGATGTTTATATCCTACTTCGAGGAGTCCTCGATTTGGTTCCTGTCCTCGATACATCGATGATGTTGCATGTGTGTCTCCACAATTTACACCATAAACAAACGCACTGTTACGTACTGGGAAAATGCAAACATAAAACAGCGCTAACAATATTTAATTAAAACTGGGTGTTTATTTGTTTTGCATATGCCGTGCACAGCAAAGTCCTGAAGGATCTAGTATGGAAAACTGAATCCACACAAGACTGGACAATTAACAATCCCTTTCAATAACAGAAATCACAACCAGATGTTCTAAATAGCAGCTCAAAGTGCAGCTTGCGTGCTATGCAAACGGATGTTATTGATTATTTAAAAAGGCATCTATATAAAGGAAATCAAATGTAATTTTGCAGTGTCCACTGAATATACCCACAGTGGTGAAATACGTTATGACCATGTGTACCATTATTACATTTTAGAATAAATGTACGAGTTTGTGTTGCGGAGGGTTGATTTTACATAGGTTTTCCTCTATTTCATAGTTTAGGCCCTATATTATGTAATGTTTATTTTTTATGTTATGTATATCGGCGTAAGGGCAAAACCTAATTTGAAGAAAAATATTATAATGAATGTTATATTATATTGAAAAATTTTTTTTTGGTAAAACAAATATTTGTATTTGCAAGCTTTCAAGCAGACCCAGGTGAAAAAGTAGTAGAGCAGTAGGATCAAAATTTCCAAACAAAAACAGGACAAAAGTAGGACTTTGGAATACAAACTCAGGATAAAAGTAGGACTTTTGCGAGCTTTCAGGAGTAGTTTTCGCCGTCCAGAGGAACTATAAGCCTCATTTGGCATGTTCTGTACTCACAACACTTGTGCTCCATCCTCAACTTATCTCTGGGAAGTAAAGTTGCCAGTTGGGGGGGGGGGGGGTGCGGAAGGGCTATCTCAAGTGGAAAATGGCCTTATTTGAGAAAATTTCAGTCACTGCCGGGGGGCAGGCGCCTCCTCCAGACCACCTGTATCCACCACTTAAACACTGTGTAAACAGTGTTTTCACAATGACGTCGGTGAAAGGCAGTATTACCCAATATTGAATTTACATGTCCCTGACGCAAAATTTCTTCGTATAAATAGTGGTCACACAAGAGCACTACTTAAGAAGCTTTCTCTCCAAGGCTTTTGAAAGCTGACATACCTGGCTTTTTCACCTCTTTCCATCGGAGGAGATGATTACGTGAGACAGCGAACACCGAATCGTAGCCTCCTTCCCTGACCATACGAGCGGGGCCCTGTAGGTGCCATGGCTGCAGGCAAGGCGACGTGCACTGAATCTGCCCAATTAGTTCAATTTCTGTTAGACGAGGGGAGAAACAGATACAGTGGACTCTCGTTAATACAAACTCAGCCAGACCCAGGGTGACTGTAAGGTTATGACCAAATTCTGCTAAATTCACTTCAAAAATCCGTCAGATTTATCAACAATCTGCCAAATTCCCCAGAATTACTCGCAATGCACTATAAACATTTCATGTATGCAGATCTATGTTGTAATATTCCCTTAATTAATGTTCAAATTACATTATAGACAATCTATAGTTACAAAACATAAAGATGTTATGAAATTTCGTAAAACTTCAGGCAAAATGCGGTTGCATCACTACGAAGTCCGGTTTTCAGTGAACCTCAGCACCTAGACCAGGCGGCAACCTGTCCAATTTTGCAAGGGGTTGTTTGAAAAGACTGAAGCTTTTTTAAAAAGATGTACCATTTTTTTTCAAATTTGCTATGTTTTTCTGTCAAACAACCATTTTTGCGGAATTCTGCCCCAAAAAATCCATTCTGTCAAATGTTCTGTCAAACTTGTTTTTTTTTACAAAAAATCTGTCAAAGTTAGCCGAAAATCGGCTAAAACGGTCACTATGGCCAGACCTAGCCGAAATGTATGTTATACAGGGCGTCCCCCCCCCCAAAAAAAAGGCTCACTGGAGGGTGTACAGAATTCTCGTAATTTATGAAAAAAATATTTCAAATTCAATTATAGAATTGATGAGCCCAAACATTTTTCTTTCTTCTGTGAAGTTTTGTTGGATTCGGTTCAATAGTTTTGAAACGAAGGCTATTTAATGTAACACTAGTTTATTTTGCTCCATTCCAAGTTTGACAATACAGGGTACTTTAAAAAGTTTGAGCAATATGCTCCAGAGAAAGCCGTGGAAAATTGGGCCTTTCGGGGTTTTTTTAATTCAAAGTGTCATCTATATGGTCTTTAACTTTTTACATGGGATAATCAATAAATATATCAAATATTCTCGATATTGGATTTCCGATATATCATTTAATGAAAATTCTGATATCGACAGTGAGTAGTCTAGTGGGAGAGGTGACTCGAATGAATTTTACTACCTGGATGAAATTTCAAAAATTCTTGTACAGTCTCAATGGATGTGGAGGCGTCATGTGACACTTCCGCGGACCTCCGATGCACCTTCGCACCCCACTCCTCCGAGATGCGAGCTATTTCATCATGGTCAGTGGAGACCCACACTTCGTCAAATTCTGTACGAATAAAAAAGGATCAATTAACCCATTAGCACTTGTACTACATTGTATTACATTGTGCTTATTCACTGAAGAATTAATAAAACGGTAATCCTTACTTTTAGGACCCCGTTCCTATATAGGAAGGGAAAGACTCACCAAAACAGTTGACTAAATGACACTCAAAATTGACATTCTGATACTTCTTGGCACATCTGAACAATTGGCAATGACACCTTCTTGAATATCAGCAGGTTTAATTTTGTGGAAAGAGGGCAGGGCTTTGATTTATGAGGGAAATTCAGGGGTAAAAGACGATGATGACAACCAGAAAACAGACTCAAAAACCAAGATAGCAAACATGAAAGCTCGATGCGATGAAAGCTCGATGCTGATTGGCTGATAAAAAATAAACATCTTATTTATTTTTAGTCTGGTTCCAACAGACCAAAAGATTCAGTAATAGTCAGAATCTTTTGGTCTGAGAACCAGACTAACTTATTTATTTTTAGTCTGGTTCCCAGACCAAAAGATTCAGGAGTAGTCAGAATCTTTTGGTCTGGGAACCAGAATAATTTTTTTTTTTAGCAGCCAATCAGCATCGGGCTTTCATTATGTAGGGCTTTCACGTGTGTGAGAACTACAACATGCACGTCTGACTGCAAAAAAAGGTAGGAAAGTCACATTTTCTTCGAAAGTGCTTTCAAAACTACAACTAACATGAGTTTATATGAAGAAAAAAGACTGCTTTAGCCTGCAAAAGTCACTTTGGTACTGGACAGAACTTGTAAAAAATAGAGGTGTCCTAAAACTAAAAGTAAGGATTACCAATAAAACCATGGAGTGCTCAGGTGGTTTCAGGCGGTTACAGTACTAGGCAGGGCAATTTCTGGCGCTACTTAAGACTTAAATGGATAAAAACAATTTAAATTCCTCTTGTCAATAATTTAATAACCGTTATGAGTAGCATGTGTGAGTTAGCTTTGTTTATAAATATGTGACAATTCCACTCAAAACTTGATTTAATTTCACAATTGATGATGTTAAATTCCTCTCTGAAATAACTACATGGGCTGATGCATTCAGGCATGTATGTATATGTGATGGGTGATGTGACACTTTTTCGAGAACACTGTTCACCCAAATCTTGCTTTTAATAAGGTTTGCTTTAAAAACTTTTAGAGAGAAAAAAACAAATATGACATTTCATAGGCCTAGTTCATTTTAAAGAGAAAGATTTTGTGCTCTGAGTTATCATGGTTATAGTATCACTTTGACTTACATGTAGGCCTATCAATCATTATCAATCAGAACTCAATTATAATTTTTTTCAGCAACTCCCATTCATTTTGTGTTGCTTCGTTCTTAATGGACCCCCACTCAGTATCCGCGTAGCTGGCAATGGACTTGAATTGTTTCTTTTGCAGTGATTCCAACCTCGCAGCCAGTGATTTTAGGAATGTATTTCCGAGTGGCGGGGTATTCTGCAATTACTCCCCAGATCGGGCCGGGCACAGACATGACAGAGCCCCGCAAATTTGACAGACACCATGCTCATTGTGGAGCGGTTGAGCTGTGTGGGTCTTTGTTGACAAGCACTCATGGTAATTTTGCCTAGCCACATAGTCTACATAATGTTATATTTACAAGAAAAAAATAATTAATATGAATATATCAAGTTACTATCAAAAAATAATAGCATGTCATTTTATACCTCCCGAATCTACGGCTGATCGGAGGACCCAAGAAATCAATGGTTGACCAGCCAGCAACTTGATGTTCTTCAGCTTGATGCCCTTGCTTCCGCCTCTTGCTAGAATCAGTGCTGCGAATTTGCCCTTTCTCCTCGATGTCGATGAATCGGTTTCCGTCATCTTTTGGTTTGTTTTGCCTATTTGCAGTATACAATGCGACTACAAGTACGAGGCTGTGGGAACTTCAGTTGAAAAATGATGAGCCAACTTGCAGCGATCGATCGATCGTAAATAATAATGTAAACATACCACATGCACAATATTTTGCCCACGACTGGCACGAGTAAAAAACCGGGCTCAAGGTAGCGGCGGATTTGGCCGGATGTCTGGCTGCGTATTCAGCGAGTTATTCAGCCGCGCATTCACCAAAATTAAAAAGTGTATAATACATGCGGCAAAAGGGGATCCATTTAATCAACGAATTTTCCATAATAAACGGCAAATAACAATATTTTAAGTAACCGTTTAAAAGCAACAATTTTTTGACGCAATAATTACTATTAAATTAGGTGCATGATGGGAATCGTGACATTTCGCGGTATTTTTCAACGCTTTTGGAGACGTTTGAAAGTAAATGCATCACTTCAGTGAAACAAAGTGTAATATACCCACACGTAATGTCAAAAATTCACAATTTTATTTCATCATCTACGAGATTATGTTACTGGGCACACTTCATTTTGGTACGGGCTTCAGCCGAACGCCAATTAGTGCCTAATTAGCCTGTTAAAGAGATCCCATTTTCCCTGCACTATTAGAATGAGTTCTTTTCAACTGCGCATATCATGCCCCTTTAAAACAAATTGTACCTCACATGTTGTCAAAATCTCACAATTGTATTTCGTAATCTTCGAGATCATGTTACTGTTCACACTTCGTTTTGGTATTGGCTCCAGCCGAACACTAATTGGTGCATAATTAGCCCATTAAAGTGACCGCATTTTCCATGCACTATTATAATTGGTTCTATTAGGCTGCGTATATTACTGCCTCTTTAAAACACTGTAGTGTTTGTTTTTGTTGCATTACTTTTTTCTTCAACAGTTTCTGTCAAATTTGAAACTATTGTGTCGTATATCACAGTCAATTATGGGACGCAATTTTAAATCAATATAATGTCTTTTTCATCAGTTATCGTCTCCACAAAGAGGGGTTTATTTTTGTTCCATTAAAAGTGACTCGAATTCGAATTGAATTTTTCGCGATTAATAAGCTGTATATTCTTTAAATCATATTAAATTTAATCTTCAAGGGTTCCCATTGATTTTCAAACCATTTGTGTCCTGTATCCCGAACAATTATTGAACCAAATTTCAATTCAGTGCACTGTGTCGTTCTTGAGTTATCGTCTCCACAAGGCGTGTTTTATTTTTGTTCACTTAATGCCAACTTCGTTTGGGCAGATCCTGATCCACGTTGACAGAAGTCTTTACGGTGGTGACCAGTATTTGTGTAGCGCGCCCTCTTTTGGAAGAAATTGATGTTGGTAAAATGTACGGGAGTGCCCTTACACACTGTAGTATTGTTTTTTGTTGTATTAATTTTTTTCTTCAACAGTTTCTGTCAAATTTCAAATTTATTGTGTCGTATATCATCATTCAATTATGGGACGCAGTTTCAAATCGATGCAATGTGTTTTTCTTGAGTTATCGTCTCCAGAAAGAGTGCTTTCTTTTTATTCAACTAAAAGTGACTTGAATTCGGATTGAGTTTTTCGCGATTAATAAACTGTATTTTCTTTGAATCATTATAAATTTATTCTGCATAGTGTTCCCGTCGATTTTCAAAACGTTTGAGTCCTATATCCAGAACAATTATTGGACGAAATTTCAATTCAGTGCAATGTGTTTTTTTTGAGTTATCAGAGTGCTTTATTTTTGTTCACTTGAATTCAGATTGAATTTCAATCAACTGTATGTTCTTTAAAACAAAGTGTACCTCACATGCTGTCAAAGTCTCACAATTTTATTTCATGATCTTCGAGATCAAGTTACATGGCACACTACATTTTGGTATAAGCTTCAGCTAATTAGCCCGTTCAAGTTACCCCATTTCCCCCGCACTGTTAGACTTGGTTTTTATTCGGCTGCGTATAATGACTGCTGCCTCTTTAAAGCAAAATGGGGTCGCAGTAAAATGGGGTCACTTTAACGGGCTAATAAGGCACCAATTAGTGTTCGGCTCGAGCCAATACCAAATTTAAATGTGAACAGTAATATGATCTCGTAGATTATGAAATTAAATTGTGAGTTTTTGACAACATGTGAGGTACACTTTGTTTTAAAGGGGCAGTGATAATTATGCGCAGTTGAAAAGAACGCATTCTAATTGTGCAGTAAAATAGGGTCACTTTAACGGGCTAATTAGGCACTAATTAGTTTTCAACTGAAGCTTATACCAAAATGAAGTGTGCCCAGTATAATGATCTCGTATATTAGGAAATAAAAATGCGAGTTTTTTTACAAAATGCACGTGGTACACTTTGTTTGAAATAGGCAGTGATATACGCAGCCGAATAGAACCAATTATTGTGCAGGGAAAATATGGTCACTTGAACGGGCTAATTAGCAGAGGTGGCAGCAAGTCATTTTTTTGCAAGTCCAAGTCAAGTCACAAGTCATTGTTTGCAAGTCCAAGTCAAGTCACAAGTCATTAGGTCCAGTCACAAGTCAAGTCACAAGTCATTAGGTCCAGTCACAAGTCAAGTCACAAGTCATTTGGTCTAAAAAGAAGTCAAGTCACAAGTATCTTTGTCCAAGAACACCTCAAGTTGCACATTATTTTGTCCAGCTGTAATAAGCTAAAAGAATTAACCTGGCGTGAACTTACGAGTTATTTTGAACATGCCTCCTTTATTCCCCTTTTTCAATGTGTTGCAATTACTATTCTTGTAGTTTATCACATATCTGTCGGATATGAGCCCTTTGTATACTTTAATAAATTTACTTTACATTGTAAAAATAAATGTTGAGATGACCGTGAAAAAAAGACTTCCTCACTCGATTACATGTAGTATACTAACACTTTATTGTTCAATTTTCATGTATACTAAACGCCTACCAATGGGTTAGGCTATCCGGTATTTTACATGCAATTGATAAAGGCCTGCTTTCTTTTCATGAAAGGTTCCTTTCAAAGTTTGTTCAACCCATACATTAAGCAAGAGACAATTGGTCATTGAAAACTGTAGTTTGTTGTGACGGTCTTATTGAACACTTTTTAAACTAGTGGGAACTATTCATTTTACTGGATTCAGTCACTGAGGTCTATTTTCTGGAATGAAAAAGCTAATTAAAAGTATAATAGCTTAATTCAACGGGTCGCTCGAGTAGCGTCTGACTTGGGTTGGTAACAAGTCATTTTTTGCAATCCCAAGTCAAGTCACAAGTCATTGTTTGCAAGTCCAAGTCAAGTCACAAGTCATTGTTTGCAAGTCCAAGTCAAGTCACAAGTCAAAGCTGGTATTTACAAGTCAAGTCACAAGTCACAAAAATAGCGACTCGAGTCCGACTCGAGTCTAAGTCACATGACTCGAGTCAGCAACTCTGCTAATTAGGCACCAATTAGTGTTCGGCTGAAGCCAATACCAAAATTCAGTGTGTCCAGTAACATGATCTCGTGGATTATGAAATAAAATTGCGAGTTTTTGACAACATGAGAGGTACACCTTGTTTTAAAGGGGTAGTGATCTTGAAAATAGATCACCTTATGCCGCATGTATTATAGATTTTTTGTCTTTTGGTGAATGCGCTGCTGAATCTGTGGCTGAATGCGCGGCCAGAAATCCGGCCAAATCCGCGGCTACCTTGAGCTTGGTTAGTAAAAAAAATATGGGCGGGCGGGCTGGTTAATAAAAGTCGTGTGTCCTTCTGTTTGTCATTTCCATAACGTGGGGCGCTTGTAAATAGAACCATACTACTATGAAAAAGCTCAAAGATGGGCGGCCGATTTTGCATTTATTACATACAAATCACCACGTTTAGGGAGACTGATGTGACGTGAAAATGTCAGTGTACTCCCAAAATATGAGAGGATCAGTAAATGATTTGATTAATGGTTGCATCTATATATCCGCCTTAGTTTCACCCATAGCTCTATGGTTTCACCAAACAAACAACTCCATAAAATAAACAATAAAAGGTGGTGTGTGGGTACGAGAAACTATCACGAGAGAGCAGCTGGTAATTTCTGCGACGCATCAACTCTGCATTTTATACTTCTAGAAGTAGAAGTACATGTACATATAAATTATACTATTAACACTTCACACTTCTTTTACCCAGGGATCACCGTCGCCCCAAGCATATTCCTTCCTCCATGCCCCAAGTCACGATATGCTAGCATCATTGACAATGCTGCGAATGTGGGAAATAGCAAACGGGAATCACTGAGATGCGGCCTTTTAATTAAAAATCTTCAACTTATTAACATCGGCCATCCCTAACCTGTCATAATGTGACGCAGTGCAATGAAGACCGGGCCTCACACTGTTATTCCCTAATACGGTCCAACGGAATCACATGAAAATCATTTCTTCAAAAGGGTTTCAGAGCGTCATATATTGCAAATTAGAAAAAGTCTGGAGTGTTTTCTAAAGTTTCCGTCTGTATTTGACGGAATACCTGGACGGGATTAGGCTAGAAGGGGTGACTTTTTTAACGAGACACCTTTTTAAACTAAACCTTTGGACAGACATCGGGGCTTAAATCAGGCATTATTCATCACTAATTAACACGCCAGAAGTTTTTGTTGTGTGTGTGGAATAAGATGGCACTTTGACCATGCACTTTCGAGAACCGACGCAACGGTACCCAAGGGTTGAGGGAACATACCACGTGCGCGTTCCATCTTCGTGCGCGTATTTAGCCTTTGGTCAAAGCGCGCGTGTCTACCCACGACGACGCCTGACGCCCCAGATTCTGGCATGAAAAAAAGACCAGTGCAAGTGGTGAAGCCAAGAGCGCTACCATCTCGTGGAGCTCATCATTATTCATTTGTTTTCAAGTAATATGAATCATGCATGTATGCGGATACATAATGAACCAATCACGACGAGCAAGCCATTTTATTTTAGGTGATTGCCCACGGTACGCTCGCGCGCGCAGGCCTCAAGGGTCTCTATTTTGAACGTTTAAAACACTAGATTGTTACGATCATATTATATTATAGCTCCACGGTTTCTCACGCCACGCAAACTACTCTTGCTACACATCGTGAAAAACTAATTGCACGAAATTTCAATTTAATCCATTTTGTATTTCTTAAGTAGTTCATCGGAAACGAGGTTG